AGGTAGAGAATCACTGTTATGAAGGAAGCCAGGGGAAACTTAACTGTAATATTCAAGTTCCACTGAGGCTCCATTCCCATCTGCTTTTATTTACTAGAATACACAATTGCCTTTTAGGGATACAAACAGACATATTAATGATAATGTTTAGTAAACAATAAGATTATCAGGTTGTGGGGAGTTTGCTTTAGGCCGAGTCAGCAGTAGGTAATAAAATGTAGATATTCACCCTGTGAATATCAAAGTGCCCAAATTCAGCTTTCTGAAAGGACTTGTTGCATTTATATTAATTACTGTTGATTTTAGTTCTCAGCATAAAGGAGTCTATCTAACAAGATATATGCACCATCTATAGGATATATATGAATAAAACTTGTGGAGGACTTTAAGGGAGAGATCAACAGAAATAGTCATAGTAGGGGACTTTAACAGCCCACTGACTTCACTGGGTAGATCTTCCAGACAAAAAAATTAACAGGGAAACAGTGACTCTATATAACACACTGGATTCAATGGATTTATTAACATTTATAGAATATTTCATGCAAAGCTTCAGAATAAACAGCTTTCTTCTCAAAGGTATAAGGATCAGTCTCAAAGACAGACCACATGTTAGGACACAAAACAACTCTCTATACATTCAAGAATATTGAAATAATATAAGCAATTTCTTAGATCACAATAGAATGAAATTAGAAATCAATTACAGTAAAACATTCAAAAACATCAAGTCTAAATAGCATGTTATTAAACAATGAATGGGTTACCAATAAGGTCAAGAAAGAAATAAAAGATATTCTCAATACAAATGAAAATGAACACATAATAACCAACATCTCTTTTCTAGGACACAACAAAAGCAATATTGAGAGGGTAGTTCATAGCACTATAGGCCAAACTAAAAAAAAAAAAAAAAAAGCTTTTTAAAAACAATAACAAACTACTTAACCCTACCGTACAACTTAAAGAATTAGGAAGAAAAAAACAAAAAAAGTCCAGAGTAAGTAGAAGGAAGGAAATAATAAAGATAAGAAAAGAGCCCAGCTGGCTTGGCTTAGTGATTGAGTGCTGACCTATGAGCCAGGAGGTCACAGTTCAATTCTATGAATCAGGAGGTCACAGTTCAATTCCAAGTCACAAACATACCTGAATTTCAGGATTTATCCCTGGTGTGGGGTGTGTGGGAGGTGACCTATCAATGATTCTCTCTCATTATTGATATTTCTATCTCTCTCTCCTCTCTCCCTCTCTGAAATCAATAAAATATATATATATACATATTTTTTAAATATATTTTATTGATTTTTTTACAGAGAGGAAGGGGAAAAAAAAGAGAGCTAGAAATGTCGATGAGAGAGAAACATCAACCAGCTGCCTCTTGCACACCTCCCACCGGGAATGGGCCCACAACCAATGTACATGCCCTTGACCAGAATTGAACCCAGGACCTTTTAGTCTGCAGACCGACGCTCTGCCACTGAGCCAAACCAGTTTTGGCTAAAAAATATATATTGAGGAACCTTTGTAATAATATGAACAATAAAGATTGATTTTATATATATATATATATTTTTTTTTTTTTAAGAATAGAGAAGATAGGGTAGTAAAGACCAGGAGAGGGTAGCTAGGGTTGAAAGGGTGGAAATGGGAGATATCTGTAATACTATCAACAGTAAAAAAAATATTTTTAAAAAGATAACAGAAGAAATAAATGACGTAGAGACTAAAAAACATCAATGAAACCAAGATCTGGTTCTTTGAAAAGATTAGATTAATGAACAAGCCAGACTCATCAAGCAACAAAGAGAAAGGACCCATATAAATAAGAATGAAAAATAGTAAAGTAACAACTGACATGTAAGAAAATACTATGAACTACTATCTATCAACAAGCTGGATAGTGTTGATGAAATGGAAAAATTTCTAGAAAAATACAATCTTTCAAAACTTACTCAGGAAGAATCAGAAAACTTGAATAGGCCAATAACAACTACCGTGTTTCCCCAAAAATAAGACATCCTCCGAAAATAAGACCTAGCGCATGGAAAGATAAGACATCCCCTAAAAATAAGACCTAGCACAACTTTGGGAGAAAAAAATTAATATAAGATACTGTCTTATTTTCTGGGAAACAGGTTAATAAAATTGAAGCAGTAATCAAAAAACTCCCAACAAACAAAAATCCTAGCCCACACAGCTTCACAAAGGAGTATTACTATAAACACTCAAAGAAGAGCCAACACTATACTCCTCAAAATACTCCAAAATCCAAGAGGAAGGAACCTCCAAGCTCTTTCTGTGATCCCAGCATTATCCTAATTACAAAACCAGATAAAGACACTAAAAAGAAAGAGAATGACTGGCCAATATCCCTGATACAGATCCTAAAATCCTCAATAAAATATTAGCAAGTCGAATCCAGCAATATATAAAAAAAGATCATACACTATGTACAAGTAGGATTCATTCTGGAGATGCTAGGTTGTTACAATATTCGCAAATCAATAAATGTGATACATCCAATAAACAAACTGAAAGAAAAAATATCATATGATCACATCAATAAATGCAGAAAAAGCACTTAACAAAACCCAATACCCTTTTTTTATATAAAAACTCTCAGCTAAGTGGGAATAAGAGGATCATACCTCAACATAAAAAAAGGCCTTTTATGACAACATACAGGCAACATCATAGTCAACTACTTCCTCTAAAAATAGGAATAAGAAAGGAATATCCGCTTTCACCACTGTTATTCAACATAGTACAGGAAATCCTAGCCAGATAGATCAGACAAAGAAAGAAAAACAAAGGCATCCAAATTGGAAAAGTTATAAAACTGTTATTATTCGCAGATGACAAGGTATTGTATATAAAAAAAACCCTATAGACTCTATCAAAAAACTAGATTTAATGGATGAATTTGGCAATGTAACAGGATACAAAATTAATGCCCAGAAATCTAAGGCATTTTTATACACCAATAACAAATTCTCAGAAAGAGAAACTAATAATCCCATTTACCACTGCAAAAAAAAAAAAAAAAATAACATACTTAAGAATAAACTTCACAAAGGAGGTAAAAGACTTGTTCTCTGAAAACTACAGAACTTTGAAAAAAGAGACAGAGGAAGATATAAACAAGTGGAAGAATATACTGTGTTCATGGATTGGTAGAGTTAATATCATTAAAATGTCCATAGTACCCAAAGCAATCTATAGATTCAATGGAACCCTCATCAAAATACCAACAGCTTATCTTACGGAACTAGAAAAAACATTCCAAAAATTTATGTGGAACCAGAAAATACCCCAAAAAGCCACAGCAATCTTGAGAAAGAGGAACGAACTGGGAGAGATCATAAAACCAGATACCAAGTTATATTACAAAGCCATTGTAATTAAAACAGGCCAATACTGGCACAAGAATAGACATATAGATCAATGGGACAGAACAGAGAACATAGAAATCAACCCAAGCCATTATTCTCAATTATTATTTGATAAAGGAGGAAAGAGCATACAACGGAGTCAAGACAGTCTCTTCAATAAATGATCTTGGGGAAATTGGACAGATACATGCAAAAAAAAAAAAAAATGAAACTAAACTACCAACTTACACCATACAGAAAAATAAACTCAAAATAGATAAAAGACTTAAAACGTAGTAAGTCGGGAAACCATAAAAATCCTAGAAGAAACCATAGGGAGTTTAATCTCAGACATCTCTAATAGCAATATGTTTGCAGATACATGTTCTAGGGCAAGGGAAATAAAACAGGAAAAAAATGTGAATACAATAAAATAAAATGCTTCTGCACAGCAAAATAAACAATCAACAAAATGAAAAGAAATCCTCTTTGCCAATGATACATCTCATAAAGGGTTAATATTCAAATTATATAAGGAAATCATATAACTTAACAAAAAGAGGACAAACATGCCATTTTAAAAAATGGGCAAAGGACCTAAATTTACACTTCTCCAAAGTGGTCATATAGATGGCCAAGGGACATATGAAAAAATGCTCCAATTCATTTATCATGGGAGAAATGCAAATTTAAATGACAATGGTATCACCTCACACCTATCAGACTGGCTACCATCAACAAATCAACAAATGACAAGTGCTGGTGAGGATGCGGAGAAGAGTGAATCCTATTACACTGCTGGTAGGCAGGCAGACTGATGCGGCCATTATAGAAAAAGGTATAGAATTTCCTCAAAAAATTAAATATGGAACTGACATTTGACCAAGTGATCCCACTTCTAGGAATATATCTTAGCAAACTGGAAACACCAATCAGAAAGAATGTATTCACCTCTATGTTCATAGCAGTGCAATTTACAATAGCTAAGATCTGGAAACAGCCCAAGTGTCCATCAGTAGATGAATAAAAAAGCCGTGGTATATTTACATCATGGTATACCACGCAGCAGTGAAAAAAGAAGGAGACAGCATAGAGGGACCTGAAGAGGATTAGGCCAAGTGAAATAAGTCAGTCAAAGAAAGATAGGTACCATATGATTTCACTCATATGTGAAATCTAATGAACAAAATAAACTGATGAACAAAATAGATCAAAGATACAGAGAAGCATGGAAAAGACTATCAAATCTCAGAGGGTAAGTGAGGGTAGGTGGGAAGATATCAACCAAAGAAATTATATCTATATATGCAAAATCCATGGACACAGACAATAGAATAGTAAAAGCCTGGGGTGAGCTAAAAGGAGTTATTGAGGAAAAAAGGGGGACATATGTAATATTTTCAAAAATAAAGATTTAAAAACGAGTAAGGAAAATAGACTAGTAATGCTATCTGGATAATCACAGTCAAGTCAAATAACCAATATAACATTAAATATTTTATTATTAATTAGTGTTAATAATTAAGAACTTAAATATTTATTAATATTGTCATCTTATTTATATTATTATTAATATTATTAAAATAGTAAGGAATATTTTATACTTGATAGTTTACACAGAATACATACATGACTCTCCTCTTTAACTGCTCCTTCTAATTGAGTTGCAAATTGTGAACAACATACCAAGAATGAATTTAGATCATCCCCAACCTTTGAAAAGAATAACAGAAAGTTGCTTTTATTTTAGAATCTGTATGCATATTCATCTATATTTTAATATATTTAACTAGTTTTAAAAATAACTTTGTGTATGTAATTTATGTTAATTCAAACATATTAGACAGGCTCCAAATGCTATACTAGCAGATGCTCCCAGAAAATTTACAAGTACATTCCCAGTTATGTCTCGGCTTTCATTTTCATCTATATAGTTGCAGAAAATCAAGCAAACCAGCCTTAGACTCCTGAAATATTACGAATGGCCAAAAAAGTAAGTACTATGGATATACCTTATAAATATCTTTGTGTTTAAAAATGAATGCTAATTATGACTTCTGATTATAAAATACACAGAAGTGGGCAAAAGTAGATTTATAGTTGTTCATTTGGAAAAAATATAACAATAAATAATAATACAAGAATGAACTCTGTGTTTTATGTACTCACAACTGTAACTTATTTTTGCCTACGTGTGTGTGTGTGTGTGTGTGTGTGTGTGTGTGTGTGTATGTGTGTGTGTTAAACTTTAAGAAATGTGGTTGGCAGAGGATGAAAATATCAGTACTCTTATTTTCAAGTATCCTAAGTGGATCATTTTTAATGGATAAGGAATTCATTCTGTAAACATATGTAGACACAAAATAAAATTTTAGTTCTTTTCAGTGTTCATTTCTCTACATTAGCATTTGCATATACTTACAGATAAAGATAATTCTTCAGGTTCAGACTTCACCAGTGGTTTTTCTACCGTTTCACTGGACATTCCATAGGTTTCTTCCAAAGAAGAAACAACCTATGAGAAAAAGCAAATTAACTACATTTACATTTTAAAATTATTACATTAAATCTAAAAAATATATTAAATCAACCATGTCAGGACCTTCTTAGCAATAAGACTATTTCTGCCTTGCCAGTGTATCTCAGCAGTTGAAGGTCGATTCAGAAACCAAAGAGATCCCTGGTTTGATTTCTGGTCAAGGCACATGTCCAGGATGCAGGCTCAATGCCCAGTGGGGGGCATGCAGGAGGCAGCCCATCGATAATGTTTCACTTTCATCAATGTTTCTATCTCTCTATCCCTCTCCCTTCCTCTCTTTTTCTAAAAATCAATTTAAAAAAATAATAATTTCTGCCAGTACTCAACTTAAATTTTCCATTTTATGCCCCAGCTCATATCTTCATGAAGAAGTCATGTGCAAGTCTTTAACCTTACTTCCTAGCAAGAGAGGCCCTATGACTCTTCCATTTCTGTGTTGGCAGGTATTTAAAAAGAAGAGAGACTCCCTATGCATAGCTGAAGCATCAACTTTACTTTACCACCAAAGTATTCCTCAAAATTTAACTGACTCAACTTTCTCCTTTGGAGAGAGTAGGGAAAATAGAGAGATGGAAACCAGAAAGCTTACATTTTTAAAGCATCAATCGCTAACCTTTTGGATCTCATGGACCAACAGTAGTCTGCAGACCATCAGTTGGAAACCACTGTTTTAAAGGAAATTATCTGAGTTAACCCCTCAAACTTTGAGCAAACTTGTATTTTGGAAGCTTGACAAACTCTTATTTTTTTATGTTTGTGCTATTCCTCATTTTTCAGTCTTTATACCAATAGTATTTGGTACATTTATAATTAAACTAGAGGCCCAGGGCACAAATTTGTGCACATTGAAAAGAAATTAATTAGAAGGTGGCCAGTGGAGTGGGACTGGGTGAGATAAGTTGGACATGCCCTGGAGCCAACTTCCCATGGTCCCTCCCTGGCAGGCTGCACCTGGGGCAGCACCAGGGCTTGAGGGGCATTAACAGAGTGAGCAGGGTCCCTCTGGCAGGTGAGGATCCCTTAGCCAGGCCTGCGGGGATCAGGCAGAAACCAATAGTCTGACATCCCCTGAGAGGTGTTGGAGTGCAAGAGGGCACTCTACAAAGTTGCTGTTACTCAGCAGCTCCTGTGTTGAGCATCTGCCCCCTCATGGTCAGTGCGTATCATAGTTACCATCCAGTCGGTGGATTGGCCCATCACTTAGCCTTTTATAGATATAGATTCTGGATCATTGAGCAAAAAGAACCCCAGAGAAAGGGAGATTTATTTCCCAACACCAAGAGTCAAAGTTTCTAAAGTGCAGAGATGAGGTGACATAGCAGGCATGAGACTTCAAAAAAACTACCCCTAAAAAAGGTCTGTTTGCATCTCAGAACTTGGATTTCAGAAGGGTTCCCACCACTATGGGTCCCTCCAATGTTTGTACAAATAATAACTTATGCTAACACCTGCTTTCCTCCAGGGAGTCTGGAATTTGATACATGATAAGCGGAGAGTATCTAGTTGATCAAACCCCAAACATAAGCCTGGGCACTGAGTCTTCAATAAACTTCTCTTGTAGACATTTCATTTTTGTTGTTGGAGGAATTAAGATATGTTCTGTATGACTCCAAAGGAGAAGACTCTTGGGAGTTTGTACCTGGTTTCCTCTAGACTTCACCAATGTGCCTTCTTCCTTTGCTGGTTTTGCTTTGTATTCTTTCACTATAATAAATCTTAACCATCAATATGACTATATGCTGAACCCAGTGAGTCCACCCAGCAAATCACTAAATCCAGGGAAGGTCATGGGATCCTCCACACAGGAACAAGCAAATGGCTTACCATCTTCAGATGTTTGGTAATTTTTCTGAGCAATTCATCTTCTGCTATTAATTCCTTGGTCTTACTTGATGGAATGGGCAAAGCATACCTCACAACAGATTCTCCTGTTGGTGGAGATCTTAAGACCATTGGCTCAAGTTTATCACGCATTAATTTTGAACTTTGTTTTTCCTTTGGTTTCAGTGACAATGGTGAATTAAAAAGTCCTTTGTTGTAACTTAATTCTGGAACACTTGACAACTTATTACTAAAGGGCAACTGATGCTTTACGGGCTTCATTTTGTTATTTACTTAACTTCCAAATTATAGGTGAAAAAATTGTATTCCTTCCTGAGAATAGAAGATAAAGATTTCATATTAAAAATGATGGCAGGATTATTTATTGTCATGCAAATGTTAAATCCCCAAATCAACTCTGGAGAAATTAAAAAAATTAAAATGGAAACATCTCTAACAAAAATGAATATTTTAAAAAATCTTAAATATTTCCAAATCAATAAACATGATACGTTGCATAAAGAAACTGAAAGAAAAAAATCATATTATCATATCAATAGATGCAGAAAAACATTCAACAAAATCCAATACCTATTTTTTATAAAAACTCTCAGCTAAGTGGGAATAGAGGATCTTCTGTCAACAAAATGAAGGCTACATATGACAAACCTACAACCAACATCATACTAAATGGGAAAAACTGAAAACTACTCCCTCTAAAGTCAGGAACAAGACAGGGATGTCCACTTTCACCATTCTTATTCAACATAGTAGAGGAAGTCCCTGCCAGAGCCATCAGGCAAGGAGAAAACATAAAAGGCATCAATATTGGAAAGGAGGAAATAATCCTATGATTATTTGCAGATAACATGATACTGTACATAGAAAACCCTAAAGACTCCACCAAAAGATACTATATTTAACAAATGAATTAAGCAATGTAGCAGGATAGAAAATTAACACCCAGAAATCTAAGGCAATTTTATATACCAATAACAAATTCTCAGAAAGAGAAACTAATAATCCCATTTACCACTGCAAAAAAAATAAATAAATAAATAACATACTTAGGAATAAACTTCACAACGGAGGTAAAAGACTTGTTCTCTGAAAAGTACAGGATGTTGAAAAAAAGAGATGGAGGAAGATATAAATAAATGGAAAAATATACCATGTTCATGGATTGGTAGAGTTAACATCATTAAAATGTCCATACTACCCTAAGCAATCTATAGATTCAATGGAATCCCCATCAAAATACTAATGGCATATTTAGGGAATCTAGAATAAACATACCAAAAATTTATGTAGAACAAAAAAAGACCCCAAAAAGCCACAGCAATCTTGAGAAAGAGTAACAAAGTGAGAGATCACAATACCAGATATCAAGTTATACTACAAAGCCACTATCATTAAAATAGCCCAGTACTGGCACAAGAATAGGCATATAAATCAATGGAAGAGAACAGAGACCCCAGAAATTATGGACTCAAGCTGCCCAATTAATATTTGACAAAGTAGGAAAGACCATACCATAGAGTCAAGACAGTCTCTTCAATAAATGGTGTTGGGAACATTGGACAGATACATGCAAAAAAATGAAACTAGATCACCAACTTATACCACACACAGGAATAAATTCAAAATGAGTAAAAGACTTAAATGTTCATCATAAAACCATAAAAATCCTAGAAGAAACCATAGGCAGCAAAATCTCAGACATCTCTTACAACAATATGTTTACAGATACATCTGTAAATACTTAATGGAATAGGCAAAGCATACCTCACAACGGATTCTCCTATTGGTGGAGATCTTAAGACTATTGGCTCAAAGTTTATCACGCACTAATTTTGAACTTTGTTTTTCCTTTGGTTTAGATGACAATGGTGAATTTGCCATCTAAAAGAAAAAATTCTCCTAGGGCAAGGGAAACAAAAGAGAAAATGAAGAAATGAGACTATCAAAATAAAAAGCTTCTGCACAGTAAAAGAAACCATCAACAAAATGAAAAGGGATCCCACTGTATGAGAAGACATATTTCCCAATGATATATCTGATAAAGGGTTAATAACCAAAATATATAAGCAACTCATAAATTTTAACAAAATGAGAACTAATAATTCAATTAAAAAATGAGCAAAGGACTCAAATAGATACTTCTCCAAAGTGAACATACAGATAGCCAAGAGACATATAAAAAACTGCTCAAAGTCACTAATCATCAGAGAGATGCAAATTAAAATGACAATGAGATATCATCTCACACCTCTTGTAATGATAAAATGAACAAATCAACAAATGACCAGTCCTGGTGAGGATGTGGAGAATCAGGAACCATAGTACACTGCTGGTATGAATGCAGACTGGTGTAGCCACTGTGGAAAATAGTATGGAGTCTCCTTCCAAAATTAAAAATTGAACCAACATTTGACCAAGTGATCCCACTTCTAAGAATATATCTTAAGAATTCCAGAACACCAATCAGAAAGAATCTATGTATCCCTATGTTCATAACAGCACAATTAACAATACCTGGAAACAGCCCAAATTTTCCATCACTAGATGAGTGAATAATAAACTGTGATACATTTATACCACGGAATACTATACAACAGTAAAAAGAAAGATCTCTTACCCTTTGAGACAGCATGGATGGACCTGGAAAGGATTATGCTAAGTAAAATAAGCCAGTCAAAGAAAGATAAGTATGATTTCACTCATGTGTAGAATCTAATGAACAAAATAGATCCAGGGAAACAGAAGAAAGAGAACAAACTGTCAAATCTCATAGGGAAGGTGGGGTGAGTGGAAAGATATTAACTAAAGAACTTGTATGTAAATAAGCATAACCTATGGACACAGACAATAGTGTGGTAAAGGGCAGGGGCAGAGAGTGTTATGGGCTAGAAGGAATCAATGGGGCTGGGATAGGGACATCTGTAATACTTTCAATAACATTTTAAAAACTTTAATTAAATTTTTTTTAAAAAATACCTGTAAGAAACCCTGAGATGTGTCTGAAAATTGATTTATGTATAGGCACTAAGGATGGGGGCTCATGGGAGGGAAGAAGCCAGTAGTAGCAGTGATAGAATATATTTAGAAAACTTGAAAATGTTATTCTTAGCTTTCCCCCATTTTTAGTTAATGCATACCCTTTATATTAGTCCTATAGAAGTAATATGTTAGGCCCAGGGTATGATGAGATTAATATCAAGGCAGCCCAAAATCATGATTGAGCAGTCCTTAAGACTCTAACTCTACTTCTCTTTCTCTCTAAAGCTTATTGATTAAGACTCAGGATAATATGTCCTCCCAAAGGGTTTTTGTTGTTTTTTAGGCGAAGGGGAGAAAGGAGTCAGCCCTCAGCCCCTCTGGATAAGTGTCTGACGCTACCCAACCAGGTTCAATCCCAGCCCGTGGCCCAAAAGCCCTCACAGGTTGGAGAGGAGGCAGGAGATGTTTGTCACTGAGGAAAATGGAAGCCAATGCTGCCATGGCGCCAAGGTTTCTCCCCGCCCCTTCCCTCACCACCACCCCAGGGATGGCAGTAAGGACTGGACAATCCTCCCAAAGAGTTTTAAAGTATGTACCTGACCATGGGAATAGACTGTCAAAATTTAGACCAGTCCCATTGTTGTGGGTTGAATTGTCTCCCCCAAAAAGATATGTTCAAGTCCTAACTCTTGGCACCTGTGACTATGACTACATTTAAAACTCCAGTCTCTGCAGATGTAATCAAGTTAGCATGTGGTCATACTGGATTAAGATGGGCCCAAAATCCAATGACTGTTGCCATATTCAGAAAGAAATGTGAAGACACATGCATAAAAACAAACAGGGAAGAAGGTCAAGTAATGACAATTGCAGGAACTGCAGTGGCACAGCTGTGAGCCAAGGAATGTTAAGGATTGCCAGCGTCCACCAGAAACTAGGAAGAAGGCAAGGGATGATAGCACTGCCAATACCTTGATTTCAGAATTCTGTTCTCTGGAAGTGTGAGAGAATAAATTCATACTGTCTTAAGCCACCATTTGTGGTACTTTGTCATGCCAGCCTTAGGACATTAATACATATGCTCATGGAAATAACTAAACAGAAAGGAAAATGTATGCGTGGTAGAGAGGAAAATTGCTAGACTGATACCTTGAGCGAACAAGAAGAAATGGGCTACTTCCAGAAACCAGTAAGGGAAGAATGGGACACTCCCCTGGTGCTAGAAAACCACCTCAAAATGAATCCATGAAGTTCACAACTTACCTGCGGTGAATGCTTGTATTTACTTCATTTAAACCCTCCTAACAATTCTAGGAGGTTGACACTATATCACCATAAATTATCCCGAATTTATCAATCACTTTCCACCACAAAGACAAATGTTTTCTGGCTTTCCCTCAGGATTGATATTCCTTTCAAACCGCAATGACCCAGCAGACAGAGTCAGGGGCGGGGTGGGATGGGTGAGGTTAGAAAAGTATGATTTGCCTGAGATTCTGAAGCAAAATTAGAACCACCGCCACTGAGACAGACACGCGGCGCTAAAATTGGGAGGAAAACAAGGGTGTTTTTTGCCAAAGAATCTAATAAAAACTCCCCAAGTTGATGAAGGAGGTGGCTCACCAGTCTCCCCCGTGGGGAGCGGGTACACTTGGAGGCCGTGGAGAGGTTACTGGTGGCTCTGCGTTGACCGAGGGGCTCTAAGGTGACCGAGCTGGAAATCCTGAGCAGCCCAGGTTTCCTTCCAGATGGAAGCCCCCAAACCCTCCAGGCTCCAGCCCTGCTATTTTACAAACTGACATTGATGCTGACAGCAAAGGCCCAGCCTTTGCGCCCAGGGCGGCAGCAACCACCGCAGGGCGCCAACGGCCAGGTCAGGCGCCCTTGAGGCCAGTCAGGCCGTTGGCGCCACGTCACAGCTAACGCCGGACGTGGGACCGCGGCCACAGGAAGGACGCCTCCAGCCGGCCTTCCGGGCGGGAGGCGGAAGTGAGACTCTCGGGCTGTGTGGAGTCATAATGCCCAGATAGCGGCCTCTTTCTTGTTCGCTCACTCACTCCTTCAGACGCTCAGGTCCTTCCAGGCGTTATAGAAATTAAACACGACCCGATTCCCTACTTTGAAAAGTTGGGCATCACCTTCAAAACGTGAGCCCCGGGCCTTCAACTGCCATTGTCTAAAGCTGTTTTCAATGTGACCTTTTCTGGGGGCCATTTGCCAGACTCTATAGTCCCTGTGCAGCAGTTTGGAAGTTTTAAGAGTAGAGTGGACTAGAAAGATGG